AAGGCAATTTATATCTGAAGGCTTTGAATGAGACATTAAGCAAAAGGTGGCTTCAGAGTACAGTACCTAGTTAAAAAATGATTATAGTGCTCAAATATATAATGATTTATCATAATATAATAGAGATAAATTCTAAATCGTCCTACGGTAATGCTATATATATATAATATAATATCTGTCTCTTATACACATCTAGATGTGTATAAGAGACAGGTGTATAGTATATATATATATATATATATATATATATACTAGGCCTATATATACACACATATATACACAAGAGAACTGTACGAGTGTGTAAAAATAGGTGCCCCAACCGGGAATCGAACACGAGACCTCATGCTGTCTCTGCCGACACCATAACCGTCTAGGATTTGTTAGAAATTCGAATCCGATTAAAGCGTCCAAAGCATCACATACATGCGCATGGCATATAACAGATCAATATGATATGCCTCTTCTTATAAGCATTTGACGGAAAGACGAGATCTGTAAAGAGATACTTTTTGTAAATAAATCATGATTAAAAATAAACACTAAATTGTCCTGCGGTAATGCTATAAATATGAATAAAGATATTTTGAACGTTAAAGAAGAGGGATCTACGAGTGTAAAACATGTGCCGTGATCGGAAATCGAACTCGAGACTTATTATAATTTTTATATGAAAAAAGAGGAAATCGAACCCGTAATTTCTCAGTCTCTGTCGATCGTCGAGCGTCAATGTTGTTCTATTTTCTCTATGGTCATACCATACAAAGAAGATAAAGATAAACGAAGAAGCTGATCAGCCTCTTCGTTTATCTTTATCTTCTTTGTTGTCCTCTTCGTTTATCTTTATCCTCTTTGTTGTTACCGCCCTTTATAATCCGCCCTAATTAAACATATCATTTACGATTTATCTAAGTCACTGCTATACTGTTTATTGTTTATCCCCGATTGCTAGTTTGTAAAGTTTTTTAAACGTGTTATCGCTGAGAAAGAGCACGGGCGTGCTCGAAATATTCGAAATAAAAAAAAATGTTTTACGTCTATTATGTCAACGTATACGACTCTACTTTTTACGCATTTGTACTCATTACATATATATATATATATATATGTATATATATATATATATTC